ACCTGATTTATCCAACCAAAAAATACCAAACGGAAGAATGATCCAGTTTCCTACACCAGATTACAGAAAAACAAGCTACATAATAAAACAAGAGTCCCAATAACCTTTTGTAAAACTGGACACTACAATGTAGGCAGAGCTCTTATTATTGTCGCCTTATAACTTATCTTATCTCGTGTCATGTCATACAGAAGTTTTTCATGGGCTATCAGGACACAGTATAACCGAAAACCATACAGTAAAATACAAAAACTTCAGATCAAATAATCAGCAAGCGCAGTAAAATATTCGAATACTCAAAGATTCTTGCATGATCGTAAACTCTTCTACAATCGTTATCTAAATTTTGAGATTACATTCATCAGTTACTATTTGAGAGCAGTAATTCTTAAATGACTCGAAGTCGTGCAATAATCATACAAAGACCACGCCTCACTTGTCCAGGTCTCCAGCTCGACACAGCGATGAACGCGCTTGGAATAGCTACGTAATTGATGGCAGAAAACAAAGAAGATTACCGCGTGAATGATCAAGCGAAGAATTAAGAAACAATGCGTCATATTTATCAGTCAATAGAAGAGATAATAACGCAAGAGTTCAAGGTTTGCACAAGACCGATGTGTTGTTAGTTGACGAGTTCAAACACGAACGACCACCCAACAGTACGTTCAGATGATGTTTTATTTTGCAATTTTTTATTTTCATTCAATCTTGCAAAGAAACTAAGAACCAATAATAAATAATTACCCAACTCGGCCATTACAAGATTGGAGCAGCAATAATGGCTTGCACGGCATTGATGCACTGGCTATTATTGCTGTACGGCATCCGTGCAAAATCAATTGCAGAAAATGAAACGCGAGACTTGAACTTGAAACAATTCGCGTGCAAAAGCGGTACATATCCCTAAACACACTCCAACACGACGTCATGTAAGATATATAAAGGATCACCAGCGATGTCTAAAAAACATTGCAAGGGAAAAATAACGGCAGTTAAAACAAGGACTTGTGCGTGGGTGCGGGTACATTAAGGCGCGTCATTTTATTGTTATTGCAATATTTAGGGATCAGCCATTACAGCCGAGCTACAACGGAGAGGGAAAACCCAGATATGAAATTGCCGACTTGAATCAAGGCGCATACCGAGCTCAAACAAAGGTAGCGTTTACAGGCATTATGTGATTGAGAAGTTAGCTCTGGTGATGAATGTTCATATGTTTAACTGGAATTTAAATCTGACAACTTGAATTGATTACGACAGTACGTCCTGAGATTTGTATGGCAATTTGATACTAGCATTTTAGAAAAAGTTTAATAGCTGAGCGACTCGAAATACGCTTATATATATGAGCGTTCGCATTAACGAGTGGTCTCATATCGAACACCCATAGGGCAAAATAGTTGAGTAGCGTAAGAGATGAACTTTGTTCCGATTTATACATACCATTGGGCAAAATTAAATGAAAAGTAAAAACTAACCAGGAAACTAAAACGAAGCAATGCAGCAAAAATTCCTGACAAAACAACCTCCAGGTAATAGTTTGAACTTAAATGTGCCGTTTAATTCTGATAAGTCGTAACCTTGTACCCCGATCCAACATCTCCATGGGGCAAATGGCTTCCGCTCCATGAAGGAAGGCTGCTCCTCAAAGAGTTGGCGTCACAATTACGGCCGCAAGAAGTGACGGATGCGCCGATGATCGTTATCTAATTGCACTATACGTTATCTAATTGCTCTACGGGGACAAATACAAGACGGAGAGGCAGAGATCGCAACACGATTCGTCGACGAGCGCGACTGACGTAACAACTTCTACCTTTTAGGGGCGCCAGTGAACAGAACGTATAATACCATTAAAAAGCCATGGTCGGGGTAGTGGCAATGATGGTTATTGCTCAGAATTTAGTTGTTTTCATGACTGATGATAGATTATCAAAGGAATTCATAATTTGGGAATGTGAGTTTTTAATTGCACATATTACTAGAAAAGTAATCCCACTGCCACCTTCCCTCCAGAACCGTAAAGATCACCGAACGTCAATGTCACTCACGTCGCCACAGCACATAAGTCGCCGGCCTTCAAGATAAGCGATCAATTCATATAAACTGAACTGAACGACAACTTTCCAGCGATACCGAAACAGCTTTTTAGTTATTATGTGGTTATCGAACCCAACAAACCGTGGTTATGACCAATATTATACGGTTTTCATCGATAAATGGCGAGTTAAGTGCAGTATCCGCCGAGTGGCGAAGCATATTTACGATAACAATTTTCATAGAAAAATCCTAATCATTCCAACTATACATGAACTTAATTATAGAAGTTAAATTTTCCTACTTTATGTTACGGAATTTATAATCCAACAACTGTTTTCTTCAAGACATTGATAGCAAAACCCCTAATCCGCCACGGTATCAAAATGAAATGAATTGAAATTTACACAACATTTGGATATTGGAGGGCTTTTTCACTTCTGTTTTTGTGACAATTTTTTAGGATAGACCGATGAAAATCAAGACAAAAGCGTTGTTCTACATTCACTGCAACAATTAAACTAGCGATTACGTGACTAAAGAATGAAGTTACCATCTCATTGAACAAAGGAAAACTTGCAACCCAAAATCCGCTGCAGGCAAAAACTAAGGTGGTGAGACAAACTGTGATGCAGATGGAAAACCGAATGGAATGTAGAAGAGGGGCCGAGTGGGATGTAGAAGAGGGACCTAGTGGGATGTAGAAGAGGGACCGAGTGGGATGTAGATGAGGGACCGAGTGGGATGTAGATGAGGGACCTAGTAGGATGTAGAAGAGGGACCGAGTGGGATGTATAAGAGGGACCAAGTGGGATGTAGAAGAGGGACCAAGTGGGATGTAAAAGAGGGACCTAGTGGGATGTAGAAGAGGGACCTAGTGTGATGTAGAAGAGGGACCTAGTGGGATGTAGAAGAGGGACCTAGTGTGATGTATAAGAGGGACCTAAGAGGGACCTAGTGGGATGTAGAAGAGGGACCGAGTGGGATGTAGAAGAGGGACCGAGTGGGATGTAGAAGAGGGAAAGAAGGAGCTAGTGGGATGTAGAAGAGGGACCGAGTGGGATGTATAAGTGAGACATGATGTGACAGAAGTATGACATAATAATTCAGCTCGAGAATGGCGTTGGTACTCCCGATGTACACCAAGAGTACACTATGTAATTTCTGACATTATGAATATACGTTGCTTTGATTTCTTGGTTAAACATGCCCCGCACACTGATGATGAAAAGCATTTGTCTCGATACTGAAAAATTTACTTCGCCCCAAAAAATGTCATTGAAAATGTAAAGAGTATATTAATCAAATACGGGCGGATGTTAGAATTATTTTTTTTAACGAAATTATATTTCCTCATTGAATTCCGGTCAGTAACACCTCCATGGCATGTCAGCGCACGCAGCGTTGACGTTGGAACAACAAGAGCCTCTGAAATCTCTGGATTGGTGAGCACACACGCTTGTGCAAGCCACGCACCACACACAATGCATGGAAAATGAAGGTGCAAGCGAGTACGTACGATCCAAATACGCGTACCAGACGCACGCATAAGCACGTACATGTATTACTAAGCATATATGAAACTGATCCCAAGTGAAAGCATATGTTGCTATCGATAGCCACGTGTTTGAATGAATACATTCAACTCCCAAGTTGTCGGCATGAGACTTCGCTTCAGAGCAATCGGATCAAACGTTATATTAATAACACAAGAAATATAAACAAATCAAACCCAAACGCTAACGCAATCATATTCAGACACTTTCATACCAATTAGAAAAAATATGGTAACGAAAAATATAAACATAATCAAATTAAAGAGAAATCTTCGAATTTATTAATTGTGTTGGAGGGTTTTTAAAATTGTCTTAAATTTGCAAAAAAAAAATGGAGAATCTTGCCGCACTTCGACATGAAGCATGATCAGGACGGTTCATTTAATAAGGTTACTCGTGTAGCGACAAAGAACAACGTCGTGCACTGAATACAACAAAGGATAATCTTGTCCGATGACTCCCCCAGTCACTCAATGACTGGAACGAAGATAATTCGGTGTCGCCGATAACACTGCAGTGTTGCAGGTGATAAGTGGCAGCGGTGGCATGAAGAGCTGGCGGTCGTGCCCCGTAGCAGCGTAGTCTCATCGTCATCGTATAAAGAGGAAGTAAGATAACGTCAGGGTTTAATGTGTGTGAGTTAGAAAGTAGTGTCGCGTGATCCGTGACGCAATTCTGCACAACGCACTATTTTGGGTTGCATTGTGGCGCTGACGACGAGCGCAGGCTTGGGCTTTCGGTGAGGAAAGACTTCGTACGCCGCAGTCGAAGGTGTGGATTTTAGAAGGTAGCTATAAGCTATAGGCTATGATCGGCGCAATGAAAAATAAGCTACTGTCTTGTCAATAGACCATCATTGTCTACGCATCCTTCATTGCTCAACAAGGGGCATCGAACATTTTCTTCGAATTGTAGGGAAGGAAGGAGTCGTTCTCACAAGTTAGTAAACTCGGCCCATTATAACTATAGGTTGGCCAAGGTTTTTTGAAGACGTGAAGAAGTACTCGATGAGTAATTCAATATAGAAAATCAAATGCGCCGGTAATTACGTGAGTAAAGCACTTAGCAGGTGCGTATTGAACACATCGCACCGCCAAACCAAAATAAAATACAACACTTCACACAAAAAAAATCGATGATTTAGTCCACAGATGATTCACGACCACCACCATTGCATAAGTTTTTAGTTTAACAAAAGGTTGCGGATGCTATCACGCATAAAAGCAATAGAATAAGCATTAGGAACGGCACTACTCCCAGGCGTTTTCCATCAGAAGTATTTCAAGTAGCGAGGCAACGAAAAGGTTAGTCACCAAAACAACACGGTAATTCCCTTATGCCTCTCGTACTATTAAGACGTCATCTATGAAAACGAAAGGATGGACTTGATGAGTCGGAGCTTACCCTTGAAAACATGAGGAGTACTCCGATTTCGATCCCGTTTCTCTTTGCCATAATGCCCGATGCTCGTTTTAGGTCTTTCAAGTTTGCCATTTTTTGAACTATTTTTCGAATTCAGGAAACCCTCTTCTAACTCGGTAGCATCGTTGCGGTACCGCCAGTTGTCTTCCATTCTCGACTTGCTGCGACCGTCCACTCGTAAAGGCACGGCGATTCTACTTCTGTCAAGCAGAAGCATCTCATGTCCAGAATCCAACAAAAGCTTTTCTTCCTGAGACAAGTGAACGCTTTTTCCAACGTCGTCCGAAGTTTGGAGATTGTGGGATGACTGCGACGTAACTCGAGCACCATGATGTTCTTCTCTTCGTCCAACACATCTGTTGTCTTCCACTATGATCTCTTCTGGCATTGACAATCCCTCTTGGTATGGAGGTAGGCTTTGAAACTGCTGTATTGTTCGAGAAAGTAAGTCGTTATCTAAATCGTAATCAGATATCATGTCTTTATTCGGATAGTGGTGATCGAAATCCAAGTCTAAATCACAACTTCGTCGGTACCATCTTTTTCTGTCTAAGCTTAGAGGAGTCAAGGACATAGGTTCCTGCAAAGAAACAGAAGGCCCATCCAGCTCAAAATCGCAGCTCCGTCTCCTCCATTGTTCTTTGGCAAACTTTCGAGACTCGTGAAATTCGTTTCTGCGAGGCGATGTTTCTCGGATCTCGGTTTTCCTCCATTGCTCGATTTTGCTAAGACAAGCTACGTTATTTGTGACTGCAGTGTTGATGGCTTCGTTGGCCTTGCCTGCATGGGCTTCGTCTCTATGTGCATTTCTAACTTTGTCCATTTTGCGCCTGCCTACAGGTGTTCGATGATCATCAAATCGATTGCCGATGCCAGCATGGTTTTCAGTACGATACTCAACTTTACGCCTAATCAGAGCTGCGTTGCAGTCTAAGTCCGCTATTTCCTTTCTCGGCAAATCACGGTCCAATTGCGCTTCGTCGACGGTTCCATCATCGATCTTTTTATCAATGTTCTGCCATCGACTTCTCAAGCCTGCTCGAGTTTTCTGAAGCATACGAGACTGTTCTTCTTGTCTACAAGCGTCACCGTCAAATCTTGACAGATCCCAAGCACTCTTGGCTTTAAGTTTCGGTCGAGCCATTAGAGGGGACCGGTGTTGCAGGGCGATGTCAGTAGTGAGAGCAGTTTCCCAGTTGACCTTGCCGTGTCGACCGTCGATACGAGTCAAGCTCTTGCTATTATTAGTTTCAGCCATCGCAAAACATCTACGTAAGCGATTTTCGTAGTTTCTCAAGCGCAAAGCATCCCACTCGGGGTTGCGCGCATACCTACGTTCGCGCTCAAATCGTCTGTGGGCCTCAAAGTCGCTTTCATCCTCACTGGAATCCTCCAAATACTTTCGGTCCAGACTCTTGCTCCTGTTGTATTTCTTGGGTGATAATCTGCAATCCCGGCCATCATAAAACCTCTGGAGCTCATTGTGATGGAAGTTTACTTCATTTTTACACGGCATGCGACTGTTGGCACGACCAGGGTTCTGATGTTGAGTTTTGTGGAATACATTGTCAGTGCTTTTAGTGAGGTTAGTCTTATTCATTTTAGCGTCATCGCATGCATCATACTTGACATTATATTTCAAGTTTACTTGGTTATTTAGAATCATTTCATTCCAATTATTACTGTAGCGATTATTAGCATCTTGATTCATCGTGCTGCGATAGTCCAACGAGGAATTCATTTTATCGCCACAGCTACTTTTGAGATTACTCTTCAAAGGTTCGTTCGTACCATTTGTCCCCTTATATGCAATTTTAGTAGTCAATTCACAGTTATTGTTATTCTGTCTCTTTTCAAAATTGTTAGTATGAACATATTTCGGGTTAAGGCCACTGTACGAATTAACATTTTCGGTTGCAGTAACTCTAAGTTGTGCAGATTTTACATTCCCATCTACTACATTTCTCGTTGTTTTTGCCGTCGATTGTGAAATAGTGCATGCTGTGAAGCCTTCGCTTCTACGCTGTGCCTGCTCAGACGTGGCGGAATTCGCCGTAACCGCAACAAATTCCTCTCTTCCGCCGCGAAGAAAATCTGTCGCCGACCTCGCTGAGTTGGTCATAGTCACAGCGTGGATGCCGTTGCCGCGATCGTCTGTTGCGTCCGCCCCATAGCCATTGTAGGCCAAACTGTGTCGCTCATTTGCACTGGAATTGCCGCCGCTATAGAAGCGACCGCCGTAAGGCATTGAGCTGAAGTTATTGGTTGACCCGCTGTTGTAGGAGTTTATGGCGTGGGGGAAAGACTTAGGCTGATCGTAAGGAAAGTTCTCTAGCGTATCTTGACTGCTGTCCAGCCTGAAATTCACACCGCTGTCGTATTCTTCAGACGATGGCGTGGCGCGCATAACAGTCATCCTATAGTCATTGCAATTCCTACCGTGAGTTAAGTCATCTGTGGCACAAGGCTCGCGTTCTATCGAAGGCAGTTCAGTTTCGTACTTATTTAGGATTTTACGTCGGCTCAGAGCTGCGCGGTTCATAGGAACCGGATCAACCCTCCTGCTAGCAAGTTCACCTCGATGAGTAGGACGGACTGTGGGTATAATTTCAGGATCTTGATCGATATTCCTGAACGGATCTTCTTCGTCGGTAAATATGCAAGATCGCCTCCTTTTTTCTCCTTGTACATTCCGACAGTCAAGAGTGATGTTGGAATTACCGACACCCGTCGACCTGTTGATTTGCTTCGATATCATCTTGTTGACGTTGCCGAATCCATTCGTGGTTATCCCATTATGCCTGGGCCCACTCTTATCGCCAGCAACAGGCTTTCTAAAGTTTGCTCTATCAACGCTGGAAGATTTCAAATTGGACTTCACAAACCGTCCACTCTTGGGCACGGAACTATCCGCGACTTTAGATCGATTCACGCCGGGGTCCGAACTGTCGTCCTCGTGGCTGTGGCTATGTCCAGACCCTGAACTTGTCCCACTGCCGCCCAGTCCTCGGGCCCCAGAATCATCCGTCTCACTTTCAAGTTTGTCTTCGTAGCTTTTGCTCCTCGTATAGTATCTACCGAGGCCTTGGACATTCTGCAGTTTCCGACCTCTTCCAAAAGCCCCGGTAGATGCATCGTCATCGTGCTGTTGTGGCTGGCTGTTGCTGTTATTACTGTTATGGTTGCTGTTGTTACCGAAAAGCCTATTGTGGTGTAGTGAGAGAATGGCCTCCCTCTGAGCTGGGGAGAGGCACTCCCACGCCCCGTCAGTGGGGAGGGAGTCCATCAAACGGTCCTGAAGGCAACGAATTTTAGGAGACACCCCTCGGGGGTTGAGGGCTGGCGCCCCCACAGGTTCAGCTACTCGCAGCATCAGCGCCAGGTGACGAAAGGCGGACACATGCACATTGCAATCACTTTTCTTGGTGATTTCAATTATTTTCTTGCGTGGAAATTAGCAAGTCAAAGTTCACTACGATTTTGAAACTCAATAAATTTAGAACTTTCCTTAAAATTTAAAATAATTTCAACTCAAACAACACTCGAAGTAGAGTCATTCTTCGACTTAAGTTGGTTTGAAGTTTCACGCCATGTGACATCTCAAGGATGAACATAACTCAATCAAGTTGTATGGAATTCATGTAATTGTCACTCGGTGTGTCTACCACATTTTCTCTCTGATTATATTGTTCATAAAATATCAGAAGAGGATCTGGAAAGGATGAAAAACAAATGATAAATAAACTAATAAATTCACGTGAATAAAATGATAATTATTAAATTAAATTAAAAGCGCAATTCACCACTGAAGAAAAATTTAGTTGCAAACTAAAAGTCGGCATCGAAGTCTTTAACACTTTTCTACGTAACGCTTTAACTTTTATTGCCTCACAAACACGCTGACAGGCCAGACCGCGCTGGGCTATCCTGGCTCGCGTGAGTCATGCTGAAAACGCGCGTTTCAGCTTCACTAGAAAATATAATGTCGAAGATATCGACGAGAATATCACTAGTACTCATGATCATAATTTTAACCCAGTTCAAGTGATATGTGTCACAAATTGGGGTATCATTGCCCCCTGGACTCAAGCCGATGCGACCAGCGACTTCAATGCACCCTGAGAAACGTTCTGGCTCACGCCACAAATTGTCTGTTACAATATTTGCCTATAAACTCACGTTCATTATTGCAAACAAATTCACAAAACACAACACGAATAATTCCAATGATATATTTTTATTTTCACATTGTAAAATTGTGGAAAATTTTACCACCCTTTTTTCCGAAAACAATCGTAACGTTTGAATTAGATTAAGTACAGAAATAATTATTAATTCGAGTTCAATTTTAGTGGATGTGTTGGAAAAATGATTAATAATTCATAGGAATTAATTAATGATGATAGGAATAAACTTCAATGTTATCAGTATATACGACAAAGTTTATTCGTATCACAATCAATTAATCTTAATGGCCGTGAAAACTTTATGAAAAGATTAACAAAGCTACTCAATGATAAGCTCGAAACTCGCTTCAAAAATAACAGACGGAGCACATTTTCGGTAAAGCATCTAAATTTCCTAAACTGGTACAAAAGTTTCGCACAAATCCAGGTATCGGTAAGCGTCAGCTGGTCCATCAGCGTCCCACGCGCACACCCTACCTACGCAACGCTCGCAGCGCGACTGACTCTTCAGCAATGCAATGTCAGCAGGCGTCGGCGACGTGACCCTGGAAACTGTGAAGGCAACACGGGCAAGCCGAGACTGGAATGCTGGACACTCCAGTGCACGCTGGAATACGGGCAAGCCGAGACTGGAATGCTGGACACTCCAGTGCACGCTGGAATACGGGAAAGCCGAGACTGGAATGCTGGACAGACATTTCATTTCCTCAGCCAATACTGTATTTTTTGCCGGTAAATTTTCGGTGTAACCTGGTATTGCTTTCCTTCACGTTGACGCAGTCCGGAAGTGTCAAATGTTCCAGAATTGTTCCAAATGATTATGTATGGAAGCCATATGAATGATTTCCAATGACTGCGGGTGATCATGTATGGAAATCATGCAGGCAAGTAGCGAGTTGTGATCTGCCACGCCCGACTGGCGCCGGCGCTCATTGAGGCACAAGCGCTGCGATTTCCTGGCAGTTGTTCACTAACTAACTGAATGGCCCAACCGACCGCTCGTCTCACAATACAATACAATAATATCTAATTAAGGGGAAAAATTCAATTTTCGTGGATTTCACCTTATCGCAAAACATTTGGGTTAAATTATCTGAAAATAATTGAAATTTTTTTTGTATGTCTTAAAAGGAAGTGTTGCCACTTTTAGAGACATATCCCACAACTGGAGAGACATCCCAGAAGTGGCGGGAAATCCTGCCAAAAATACCAAAAAAAGAGAGATATTCCTTAACTAAAGAAATATCTCAACTTCATATTTTTTCATAACAGTGTAAGCTCCAAACCAAAGTGGCAATTTTAATCCAGATTCAGTTCAGCTGGCTTGATTTCCTACATAATTGTGGCGGAACTTTTCGCATGTTGCGTCGGGTGCCATCATACAGTGCCATCTTACGGTGCCATCTGCAGCTCCATTCCAGAACTCGGCTTTAAATGAACCTCGAAACGTCAACGAGGAAGCGAGTCATTTGAAGGAAACAATCGACGCCCGAGATGACAATAATAAGAACTTTAATTAACGTCCGTGACAATTAAAATCGTAAGAGAAACACATACAACATCAGCACCCATAAAACAAACGAACGCGCCTCGCAACAATCAACCCGCGCATGAAAGTGTCGCAAGATCGCGACGAGAACGAAACATAAAAAATTAACTGCCGCGACACGATTAAGTTCTCAATGACTTAATGGCGAGTGTGACACACATTTGTGTTCAAATTAAACTGTCAATTGAAAGCGGAAGTGACGGAAAAGTTGCATTTATGCGAATGGCCTAACGCGAGTAAGTGCCGGTGAGTCAAGGAATGAGTACTGGGAAATTCTTTGATTGGTTGCTATTTTTATTTCAAGATTTTGCAAAACTTATGCTCGGCTTTATCCAAATTTAATGCACCGCGATAATAATATTTGCCTGAACTCATTACAGATTCTGAATACGGAAATATTTACAGCACGATATTTGTACCAACCGTGGATCTGTATCCAGCTCTAGCAGACAATATCGATACGTACAACGTGTCGGCTCGTATAGTGTCTTTCCCTTGCCGGAAATCGATTTTCATGGAAGTCTTATTTAATTGTTCGGCCAACTCATGCGGCCTTGCATGCGTTCTGCGCTAAAGCAACCAGGACACGGAAGCTGGAGCTCACGCAATACAGAAATATCGACTTGTATCTAAACTCCAGCCACGTCACATCAGACGAAAAAAAAAAGTCTAATCGTATCATTGATAATACGAGTACAGCGGGTCCAATGAACTGGACGCATTGCGCGCATTGAACGGACAGCTAAACCTTGCACGATTTGTTTAGATGAGGAAATGGACGGCATAGCAACGAAGGTTTTTACTCAAGCTTCGGATTATGATCTAACAAATACAACATTTATTTTACGAGTTCATTGTCAATACTCAGCAAATAGGTTCACCGAGATTCGTTAGTCTAATTTTATTTATTGGCCATCGCATTTGTCAAATGCATGTCGACGCAGGCTGCACTAATTTTTTTTCGTTTCCATGAAATAAACGGGAAAGTTTTTAATTGAATGAAATTCCTCCGCCTCGAATGGTAATTAGTTTACAGTTGTGATTGCAGTTTGGCAATCAATCTAAAAGGTGCTCCTCAATATTGCGGTTGGCATATCGGGGCTGCTACGAACCGAGTTCATAATTTATTATTCAAATTGGATGCAAAAGAATATGAACGGTGAAATAAACAGAACATTAGAGTTGCAATGACGTGGAGATGAAAGGTGTCAGAATGCAAGAAATATTTACAGTTGTGATGGGACTGGTCGCAGGGCTGGTATTTGCGATGCCCGTTCCACTCGAATTCTTTGAAAGCTTTCACGCAGAGTTATGACGTGCATGTCTGAAAACTTGTAATATCAACACACAAATTATTCTTATTATATATTATAGCGACACAAATCAGTGCCAACTCATTACACGACAATTTAATTGCACAACAAAATTTACCGGATTAAAATCAAGTCTATCTATTTTCAAAGACCTATTTTTAACTTTTATAAGGAAAATTTTCTTGTGTTATTCCTAGGCGTTCTAAGGTTTTACGGCCATCATTCCCACAGAGACCAACAATGTAGGCGTAGGCTAATTTCCACCGACATTAATGCTTAGTAGGCACACAAAAAAATCAATTGCAATGTCCGGTGCTTTTATACAGCAGAAAATCGATCATAAATGCATGCAACTGAAGAGCTATAACCTGTTGGTCCAGCAACAGGCTATTGACCCTACACGCAGAACACGGTTGTCATGTCCAAAGCTTATCGGAATGTCAAGTACTCATGGCCCGAGCGTCATTGCAGTTTTTCACATTTTCAACATCGCGAAGAGAACGACGCGGAAAACAGTGATACTCGTACGCCAAATGAACTTTAATTGTAGAATACACGACAAAGTTTATTGAACCTCTAAAGAATGGTAACAATTTATGATTAACTCGGCCATCTGAGCAGAACTGACATCTTCTGAGCGAAACTGTGTGTTAGCTTTCATTAATCTGTCATTGCGATTGGAAATTATTTTGGACATCATCAATAACGAGACCAATTCTCATACTCAATAAACGTTGTAGTTTATTGAATTTGATCAACGTACGTCGGTGGTGGGTGTGCACGTCGATGGTGGGTGAGCACGTCGGTGGTGGATGAGCACGTCGGTGGTGGGTGTGAGCACGTCGGTGGTGGGTGTGAGCACGTCGGTGGTGGGTGAGCACGTCGGTGGTGGATGAGCACGTCGGTGGTGGGTGTGAGCACGTCGGTGGTGGGTGTGAGCACGTCGGTGGTGGGTGTGAGCACGTCGGTGGTGGGTGTGCACGTCGGTGGTGGGGGAGCACGTCGGTGGTGGGTGAACACGTTTGTGGTTAAAAGTGTGATGCGCGCCCCACTGATAGAGTGAGCCAAAACAAACGCGGCGTAAAAAGAAAAAGATTTTAAATTTTAACGAACATATATAAAATTTCTTTTATCGACAACAGAAACAATTATCAACGGGGTAGAGGGAATCGCAGCTACTGGGACAGTAAAATACCGAGCCGAGAAGCAGCACAAGCTTCAGTATCACAAAACTTGTTAACTTGACGTTAGCCTTGAACTTAATCCACGAGGGAAGATGCATAAACGCGAAAAAAAGTTTTGTTCTCATGGGATGCTAAAAAATCCAAGCCAAACTTCGTCCAAGTTGTTATCTAGAGATTTCCAAACTTCGGACATCTTGGGATCAGCGAGGAAGTTGTTGCACTAGAGGGAAGCTGAGATTAAAAGTTTTTGGATGAAAATAAGTTCAACAGGAAGCTTAATATATCGAACTCCGTTCCGGGATGTTCATCAAGGCACAAAAATAGCAGTAATGTGAAAGAATGTTTCGGAGCAAAATAATTAATGTCAATTAAAAGTTGAACTTCGAATCTCCCAAATTCAAAAAAAGTCCAAATTTCACAATGATAGAAATTTCCTGCGGTCATCAGCTAAGTGTAGTGGAATATCCTTTGGTTATTAGACGTGCAACACAACCTAGGGTTGAAAGACAACACATCTTCCGGTTTAAAAAAATAATATTTTAGGGGTGGTAGAACTTATAGTCACCAAGTATCTTATATCACTCGTTCAAAACTCAATAGTACATAATATTTTTCGCAACATGGTACATCATACGTAGGAGTATTCACAACAATATCAGTCATAAGCGAGCAAGCTAAAACCGCAAATTAACAAAGAATTTTAAAGGGAAAACCTGCCAATTAAATTCAGCATGATTTCATTGCATTTTTAAACACTATTACGAATTATCAAAAAAACAGTATGAATTTACTTGGAATTTTATTTGCTTTTAAATTTAAGCTCTCGGTTAATTTGCGATGCAAACGATATAATGCCATAAATTTTTGTATACAATGTAATCTGAGTAATGAATGTTAGCGTTGAGGTAACCTACCAAATTCTATTCGATTTTAAAGGGCTTCAGGTTTGAAGGTTCAAAAGGTTGACAAAGAAAAGCTTTATGCGTATCTAGCCATATATCAGAAATCAAATTTACTGCTGCACGTACACGAAGTAGAGCATGAAGGCAGCACGAATCTTCTGCTCAAATAAATTCCAGTCTCATTAAGAGAAAACATTGCACTCGGAGCGCGGAAGTCACGGAGCTTGAAATCTTGGTTTCTTTGTACTGTGCGCCGTACAACGGAGACCTTTGCAGGTCCTTTTGAATCGCTTCTGAAGTCATTAAAAATCTAACAAAACAATAGTTCATACGCTAAATTAATGCTACGCTCTCGTAGCTGAACTGAAACATTTTATTCATGAACATTCACATCTTTTCGCATGATGAAGCACTAATTATTCCGCATGCAGTGCTCAAGACACATACTGCATACTATGATAGATAGAGAACTTGTGCAACACGACACCGAAAGCTATGTCTATTTCAGATCAAACGCTCGCAAAATGAGCTCATATCATTCAAAAGAATCAATTTTCCAAGTCAAAGCCTGCAACTAATACCATTGCAGTTACACTCAACCGATTAATAACGAAAAGAACTTCTTACTGCGGGTCGAAAATCAGGGAGTTCAAAACACGGTAGAGTCACAAGCCGTGAGTGTCAAGAAGAAGAAGAAAAATTGTGAACAGTGTACAATTTTTTACAATACTTCTCAAATCTCTGTTCAAATAAGTGATGCATAATGACATTATAAGATGTAGAAAACAGGTAGAATATAGAATCAGTTGCAGCTTGAAGAGAAAAATACTACACAAAGAAGTAAGAAAAACCTAAAGACACCTCAACATAATAAAATTTAAGGTTTCATTGATGAATATGAGTTATAAGTAGGCATGTGCATAGTTTATTTTTACATTGTGTACTCCCGGGAATATAAATTTGGCTAAAATTTAAAAAGAACGTTTCAAGGCCAAACAAAAATAATCAGATTGACTCCTGACCAAGATAAATTTAGTACTATATAATATAATATGTACAACAGTACGAGAGGCGAAGTATATTATGCTTCAAAGTGGGTCAAGGCAGAGATCAATGTCGCTTCTATCACAAAATCAGCCCAAGCACAGAAAGTGCCGGAAGTTGGCCAGAAGACAAAGCTCTGGCGCTCAAAAGTGTGTCGAGGAAGACGATTTTGCCAGCATCATCTTTAATAAAAATTGGTTATACATGGCACAGATTCTTTTGTTTAAGAAGCCAGCGCATGTACAGACAAGTCTCCAGGTATTCACGGTCATATTTCTTGCTCTTATAAGCAACGAGTAACATGACTTGGCATTACAGAGAACAAAGGCAGGGTCTATGGCAGACTTGGTTGTCGTGTGCCATGTTCGCGGCAATTTCTTCCCGTCAAACTAAGATTGTGTCGGTATTTGACGTCATACGGCCTACGGAAGTAAACTTCGCAAGACAAAAATGCAAAAATGGATGCGCTATTTTGCTGTCGACAGGCACCCAGCCCCACCATTCATCAGACGTATAAATAACGTTGTTTAAACATTGTTTTAACTACATCCACTCGTAATAAACGTTTTCCACATGACGTTCTCCGGATCACATGACAGACCACATGGCATTCTCCAGACCACCTGACAGACCACATGGCATTCTCCAGACCACATGACATTCTCCGGACCACATGACAGACCACATGGCATTCTCTGGACCACATGACAGACCACATGGCATTCTCCGGACCATATGACAGACCACATGACAGACCACATAATTTCCAATACAGAATATTTAACAAAAATGAGGCACATTGGCGCTCATATATCGAGCGTGATATCCAAAACTTTAAGAAATAAATTCATTCTGTGATCATTTTTAGTTTTTCATCATGCAGTTCTAGCACATCAAAATAAGATCAACGAATATATTGCTATTTAAAGATTTGTATTGATTGTTAAGAGACGGAGAAATATTAAAGCTAAACGTTATTGCGAGCAATATTAACCATTGTTCTTGTTTATCTACTGACTTCTATAGATAATGAATGAAGATATGCAGGTTGCGGAGTGATCCGAAAAAAATTTGTATAATTAAATTATTGTAAAAATAAGATATAACATCACGGTACTCACGCCAACACCCACCAGCTAGTCGCCGGACCAACACATCATGTGTCTTACCTGGAAACAATTAATTAATAATTTACACCTTCATAAATTCATTTTGTAGAATATGAATGCATAATTTCCCAATGGGAACATTAATAGTAGATTTTCTTATACTACTGGCACCTTAACCTTCAATAAAAATACTTGATTCTACAAAATTTTCACTTTCTGTTTATAAATTTCCACTATACTGTCACTGTACTAGTCAGTTGCACTAATAGTTCAGCTATCATTGATTAAGAATGAAATCTTAAATGGAAGTTTTTTTTTAATTCATTTACTTGTTAAAACCTTTATTGTAATTACGCTTGTCGACAGTCATTTATTAGTAGGCGAAGTCGTCTGCCCCCTGCCTTATCGTTGGGATTGATGAACTAGACTTACGACTGTGCGGATTAGATCCTGGAACCATTTGCTTCATTCGTGAAATCTTTTTGCCTTTTTCTGATATTGTGTTTGTGCGGATGTGTTTTCCTTTTATTAAGTGGTTCAATTGCATGTTTGCGCCCCTGTGTTCGCTCGTCACAATGTGCTTATTGGCTATGAGCCTTCTTTGAACCCGTGGGTTTTGGCTCCGTGGAGCTTAAGGACTTAATTCTTCAAGCCCTCTGTGGGATTTAACGCGCATGCTTGCATGCATTTAATTTAACTTCACCCTTATTACCTTGCCTTGTGAGCGAACACTCCTTACCCTATTTTCACTTTTTTCACTTCTTATTGTTCTCAACAAGAGAACTCTTACTATGGTTGCCATCCTTGGTAACAAATAGGTATGTATCAATAAATTCATTCTGATTGTGTTTGCTAAAACTGTTTTTAGCTGCGATATTAAATGCGGCGGCCAAATTGTGGCGGACGCGGCGGCCGAAATTGTGGCGGACGCGGCGGCCGAAATTGTGGCGGACGCGGCGGCCAGTCCGCGCCGTCCCTCGGCGGTGCTGAAGTCCAATTTACAGAGGGCCTGAGAGGGGACTTTTTTACTCAGGGGGCGGGGCTACAGTGAAGCCCTCACGCAACCCCGTGACTTCTGCACGCAACCTGCAGCGGTGTTGCGAGAGGGAGGTCGTGCGTAGGGGGCAGGATCGTGCGTAGGGGTAGGATCGTGCGTAGGGTAGGATCATGCGTAGGGGTAGGATCGTGCGTAGGGGCAGGATCGTGCGTATAACTCATGTACTGTCTAACCAACAGCAAAACTCAGCTTCCCCTACAAGCGGCGCGCGATTGCAAGAATCACAATTTTCCCCGCAAGCTGAAGCCCAGAATAAAACATAAGAGATGGCCGAGTCTGGACGAGAAGCAGATTGCCGTGGGCGCTGGTCATGAATACGAAATCCCTCTTTAAATTTACATCCTTCACAGAAACTTTAAAAGCCACGTGGGGAACTAACAAGTCTCTGCAGAGGCTCAAGACAACTGCGCTTTGTGCCAAGAATCTGCGTATGAAAAGATGACCAAAAAAATTTAAAATTGGAGTATGAAATTCACGGCAGCTGGCGAGGCATGCGTTCCATGTCTGCGAGTGTTGCTTGCCTGCTGCTGTAGCTCAATGGAGCTTCAATTTAAAAGGTTTAGGCATCGTGTACAAACGTACAGTGTTTTTCAAACAATTCTTCCAACTAAATTAGGCAAAAATATAAGCTAATAAGAATGACAAACATTAATTACTCTTAACTGTCGCAATTCACGATAGCAATATCGCGCCCAGTACAAACTTTCAGCCTTTATTCCTACAGGAAGAATACCCAGGTGGTTACTCATGTTTCA